GGCGTTCAAGGTTGAAAGCCGCCAGGCTGGGATCGGCCGACATGGGACGGTTCGCTGTACCGAGAAGCCGCGATCGTGCAGGGTTGAGCGATCCATGCGGTGTCAGAAACCAACCCAAGGGTCGTCACGGCACAAACGTGCAGCATTCGAAAGAAGATATTGTTCGTCCTCTTCCGCTTCCGCATCATCAGCGGAATCGAAGCGTCATGCACGCCATCCACCCGCCTTGTTCTTCTGCAGAGGGTGAGGAAGACGGCGAATAAAAAGAGGGTGTGGATTCCTCTCCAGAAGTGTGATCCAAGATGTTGGCCACCCCATTCGGCTATGTGCGCTGGCCTCCCGGCTCCAGTACGGGCCTAAAGAAATCACGGCATCGCTAGGAGCAGGTACGAATGCGGATGTATCTTGTGATTGCCACTCCGCGTCATGCTGCTCTGCGCGCGCCCCCCCGGGGCCTCCCTCACTCCCTCCAGCCGTCGTCCTTCGCAGTGGCCGGCTTTCTCTTCCCAGACCTCGTGCTCCGACCTGGGCGCGCGCGAGGCCAGCCCAGAATTGTAGAGTCCCTCAGTCCGTCCCTCCCTTCCCTCCACCCGTCGGCGGCGTCGCCGGCGTCGCCGGTGTCGTAGTCGCCGTCGTCACCGACCTGCACGGCATCGTCGGCAGCGTCCTCGTCGGCGGCGGCGGCGGCCGCGGCGGCGGCGGCCTCGGCGGCGGTGCCGTCGGCGCCGTCGTTGTCTTCAACACGCGGCGGCGGCGGCGGCGGCGGCGGCGCGCCAGGCCCAGGCATGCGGCCGCCGCCGCCCCACCCGCGCCAGCGACGGCCGAGCTCGACCAGGGCGCCACGACGCCGTCGGCGCCAGGCCTGCGGCCCGCCTCCTCGCTCAGGTCGGCCGCGCGCAGAAGGGGGTAGGGGGAGAGGGGAAGGCCTCTTGGCAGCCCACCTGCCTCTCGGAAGGCGCGGGCCTTCGCTGCAGATGCGGGGCCGGCGCCTTCTGGGAAGCGGCCTCCTTCTAAGAAGCGCTACCCCCTCCACCTACCCCCCTTGGTGTGGCATAGGCCCAGGGGGGGGAAGCGCGAGCGCCCACTCAGCACCGATGGGGGCCCGAGGGCCCGCCCCGCCCAGGAGCGTGCGGGCTCGCTATCAGGGTGCCCATCGCCGATCTGTCGGCGATGCGTCGCTGATTCCAGCGAGGAGGAGGAGGAGGCGGCGGAGGAGGAAGAGGAGGAGGAGAAGCAGGAGGAGGAGGAGGAGGAGGAGGAGGAGGAGGAGAAGGAGGAGGAGGAGGAGGAGGAGGAGGAGGCGGAGGAGGTGTTGTCCCACGATGACTTTCCAAAAACTGGGCCTGAGCGGGGGGGGAAGGGTCTGCGAGAGGGCCTGCGATCTTCCAGCCGGCGCGCATCCTTAGCGGAATTATGTAACTTAGCTGGACGTCTCCTCCCGAGCTGGTCCCCCCCTGTCGTTCCCCTTCAGCTGCCGTCGACACCTCCGCCGTCGCCACCTTCGGCGCCGCCACCGCCGCCTCGCTCCCTCGCTCCCTTCTGTTGCAGGGTCCGCGGGCCCAGACTCCTCTCGAGGCTGGAAGGCGCCGCCGCCTGGGGTGCTTCGGCATGCCTCCGACCTCCAGGGGCCGCTCCTTGGGCGGCGGAGGAGGAAGAGGAGGAGCAGGAGGAGGAGGAGGAGGAGGAGGAGGAGGAGGAGAAGGAGGAGGAGGAGGAGGAGGAGGCGGAGGAGGTGTTGTCCCACGATGACTTTCCGTACTGGGCCTGAGCGGGGGGGGAAGGGTCTGCGAGAGGGCCTGCGATCTTCCAGCCGGCGCGCATCCTTAGCGGAATTATGTAACTTAGCTGGCTTCCGGCTCAGGGGTAATCCACAAATAATAAAAGCTGGATGTCTCCTCCCGAGCTGGTCCCCCCCTGACGTCCCCCCTCAGCTGCCGTCGGCACCGCCGCCGTCGCCACCTTCGGCGCCGCCGCCGCCGCCCCGCTCCCTCGCTCCCTTTTGTTTCGGGGGCGGACAGAACCCCCAACAGTGACACGTCGATTAGTGAATGGTCCGTTGTTGGTTCTCGAGAGGGCGCCGCGGCCATTATTTTTCAGGCTTGCGCCCGCCAGGTTTGGGCCTCAGGTCGTTTTCACTAAACCACGTTTTACTAAAGGGGGGTCTGTCCATCCCCGACTGTTGCAGGGCCCGCGGGCCCAGACTCCTCTCGAGGCTAGAAGGCGCCGCCGCCCGGGGTGCTTCGGCATGCCTCCGAGAATTCCAGGGGCCGCTCTTTGGGCCCAGGAGGGAGGAGGAGGAGGAGGAGGAGAGGAGGAGGAGGAGGAGGAGGGAGAGGAGGAGGAGGAGGAGGAGGAGGAGGAGGAGGAGGAGGAGGAGGAGGAGGAGGAGGAGGAGGAGGAGGAGGAGGAGGAGGAGGAGGAGGAGGAGGAGGAGGAGGAGGAGGAGGAGGAGGAGGAGGAGGGAGGAGGAGGAGGAGGAGGAGGAGGAGGAGAGGTAGGAGGAGGTGGAGGAGGAGGAGGGAGGAGGAGGAGGAGGAGGAGGAGAGGAGGAGGAGGAGGAGGAGGAGGAGGAGGAGGAGGAGGAGGAGGAGGAGGAGGAGGAGGAGGAGGAGGAGGAGGAGGAGGAGGAGGAGGAGGAGGAGGAGGAGGAGGAGGGAGGAGGGAGGAGGAGGAGGAGGAGGAGGAGGAGGAGGGAGGAGGAAGGATCGAGCCATTTGCCACTCCTGTGCGCTTCTTTCCCAGAAGAGCCACCGCGGCTGCCCCAGAGCGACCTCTCACCGACGCCGCGCGGCCGTGCCAGAGGTGTGCCCCCCCTGCTTCAGGAGGGGAAAAAACGCACAGACACAATTCATCGTCGATGCCCCAGAAAATATGGGAAAATATGGGCAGTGGGGGGGAAGACAGAAACCCAGAAAATATAAGAAAATATTTGTCATTTGTGTGTATTTATTTGTGTGTCCCAGGGCCCCTTCATTGCTGCCTCTCAGTCGCGCGGTCGCCAGAGCACAGTCAGGGTCACATAGCCACATCGCGGCTGCCCACACACCGCATTCGTAATCCTTGGCAGGTGAGGCACTATCTTGGCTCTGCCAGTATGCTTGTCCGCACGTGGTCCACGTCTGACCTTTCCTACGTGCCCTCGCAGACTGGTCACCGAGGCATGCTGTTCCCTGACACCCTCCTCCACAAGCGCCGCCATCCCTGGCCTGGGGAGGGCTGGGGCGTCAGGTGCACGTGTTGAACACAGCGCAGCTGGCTCTGGACAACTCGGTGGGCTGATACTCTTCGGCCCAAGTTTTAGCTCGCTGAGGGGCAGCAAACGCGATCTGTGTTCCTGGGGCGACGGGGAAGGAGGTAATGCTCGTAGCGTAAGAGCAAACCTTAACAGCCCAATCGTTGGTAAGAGCAAACCTAAGGTCCGAACTTGTCGCGAATGGGTGTCGTAAGGATTGTTATTGACGGATCAAGCGCGCCGGCTGAGTGTAATGGGATTTGGCCCTGGAAACAACGCTGCCCCCCAAGCGACCTCCAAGGCCCAAGAGCTCTAGCGCGCCCCCCAGAAGCCCTTCCGCGCGCCCGCCCGTGCCGATGGGTCACGAGGCGCCCGGCGTTCCCCGTGGCCCCGCCGTGCCTCTCGCGCGCGGCCACGCGGCAGGTCGCCGCGCTCGACTGCGGCTGGAGGCGCCACGCTGGCCCGCACGCGGCCGCCCCGCCGGACGCCCAGCCGCCAGTGGCCCTCGACCCCCGGCCGAGCACGGCCGAGGCCCAGGCGACTGACCGCGACGCCGGTTGGCAGGACGCTCAGCTGCCCCACGACGGACTCGTCGCCTCGGCGCCATCCGAGGCCGCGTGCCCAGACGGGTGCCCCGGCCACTCGTGCATCCCTCGGCACGTGCTGTGGTACCGGAAGAGCTTCGCGCTCCCCGCAGAGTGGAGGGGCTCCGTTGTGTGGTCGGACTTCGCGTGCTCGTTTCGTGCCACCACGGTGTGGGTCAATGGGGAAGCAGCCGCCTGCAGTGATTGTGGCTACACCCCGTTCCGACTGCGCCTGAACAACATCACGAATGTCAAGCTCGGCGGGGCCAATGCGATTGCTGTGTTCGTGGCCCCTGACAACGGGGACGAGTGCGCGTGTGAGCAAGGCAGCGGCTGGTGGTACGAAGGAGGCGGCCAGCACCTGCACGTCAAGCTTATCAAGGCCAGCATGGTCCATGTGGCCCAGGATGGCTTCTTCGCTACTTCCAATTCGACCGCGTCGCTGGACGGCGGCCCATCCGCCAGCATGCGCGCCGCGGCTGAGGTTACCAACACCGGAGGTGCCGCCGCTCAGATATCGGTCCGCTTCTGCCTGGCCGCACCAGACGGCTCGCAGGCCTCGATGGCGCCCACGGGGCTGGTGGACGTGCCTGCGGGCGGCTCGGGCAAAGCTGCCAGCTTCTCAGCGGGCCTGGTCCAGCTCTGGACGAGCTCGCAGCTGGTCGTCGACGCCGTTCACGCCTCCGTCCACCCGGGGCAGTGCAGCGGGAGCCCCATCGACTCGGTCGAGCAGGCGCACAGCTTCCGCTCGCTGTGGTACGATGCGAACGACGGTTTCGTTTTGAACGGCCAGCATTTCAAGGTGCGGGGCTTCTGCGACCACAACACGTTCGCGGTGGTCGGCATGGCCGTGCTCCAGCGCGTCAACCTCGTCCGTGCTCAGGCGTCCAGGGCCGTGGGCGGCAATGGGCGCCGCATTTCGCACAACCCACCAGAGAGTCCGATGCTGAATACAGAAGACATATTCAGCATCGCGGTGATGGATGAGAACTGGCTTCTCGCGAACCCGACAAGATACGTTATGGACATGGGTG